TCAATATTAATAAAGGAATCAATTTAAAACTTATATCTTTCTGCCTCTTCGTGTCTTCATATAGTCTGACGTGATCCTTACATCTTATTTGTAATTGAGTTCGTCATCTGAATTCTTTAATTAAAATTGTTCATAATCTTGTCTTTCAAGTCTTCATACTTGATAGATTAGTTTAAGTTCAATGCGTAAACTTGGTAAAATTAAGAGTTAGGCAGATTCTAACGTCTTAATCGCAATAAACCATAGTGAAGAAATTTCAAGTAGAGACTTGATAACATGACTACCTCAAGTTGAAGAATTCCACGTGACAGCACATAACCTAAGCTACAAAAAAATGGATTTGATTTTCTGATTCATTTATTCGATTAAAAGTTATTAAGTATTGAAATTTGTATTCTTTAATATGTACACTTCTCAGTCAAAAGTATTGGATCACGTGATTTTTGATACTCAAATTGATGTAATTCTATTGATCATAACTTTGATAAAATGCATAAAAATGAACCAAATTTTTTTTTCTACATAGTTAAAAGCTTTAATATTTGAATATAAATATATTTTTTTAGTGCCAAAAATCTAAGAACTTATTGAATTTTAACAAGGTGAAAAATTAGCCTCTAGAAAGGTATCTACAGCAAACAAAATATTATAGATATTCTTGTCCATTCTATTTTATTTTTTATTGTTTCAAAATGATGTTCATTATTGAATTTGGTGTTATCTTCATGAAAACTATGATATAAATTATTTAATTTTCACTGTAAATTCAGGAAAATAAGATATAACAATATAGAGGTATTTTATGAAAAATAATATTGGAGTTTTAATTCAAGTTTCTGGTAAATTATAAGTTTAAAAAAATAATCTTTTGCTTTTACTGATAAGTTGAGAATTGAGTTAGAATATATTTTTTAAAAAAAAATGCATCTGTTCATTAGGCAAAGCAATTAAGCAATATATAGAAAATATGGTAATTCAATCTCAAATATTTTATAGTTTGCATAACCTTCTGACTTAAATATAATTGAATATCTATAGAATGTTTTAAATATAAAGGTTTGTAAATATAACTATATCTAAAAATTCTTGAAGAATTATTGATTGTTTTTAAGAAAAAAATGAAATGAAATAGAAAGACATTTTAGAAAATTTAATATAAAGTGTGTCAAGAAAGGTTTAAGCTGTAGTAGATAGCAATGGTTAACCAACTAAATACTAATTATTTTTATAAAAAGTATGTTTTTATGAATAAAATAAAAAATTTTTTATGTAAAATTACTTATTAAAAATTTTTATAATTAAAAAATTAAAAGTTGGTTATTAAATTTAAAAATTGTGATAATTTTAAAGTGGTCTAATACTTTAACCAGAGAGTATACATCTAAAATTTACCATTAAGATCATTTTCTTTTTTAGTAAAATTAACTGATTTAAAAAGGAAAAGATCGAATTTTTTTTTTTAAGAGGGAACAAACGAATTTTTTTTTTCAGAAAGGAACAAACAAAATTTTTTTCAGAAAAAAACAAACAAATTTTTTTTTCAGGAGGGAACAAATAAATTTTTTTTTCTTTCTTTTTAAAAGAAACAAATTTATCTTAAAGAAGACCAAAATTTTTTAAAAGAATTGAATTTTTTTTCTTTTTTAAAGCAAATTTTTTTTAGAAAAAAAGAAGGATTGGTTTCTTTTTTTTTTTTTTTAAAAAAAAAACTTTTTTTTTAATTTTTTATAATTCTTAATGCCACCTTTATCAAAACAACAAGTTTACTTAAAAAAATATAACCAAAACATACATAAAGTTGTAACATTATCAGAAGTAAAAAGTACTGATAGTGATAAGGATTCAGTACTTTGGTGACCAGGTCAATAATTTTACTTACTTCAATATTGTTAAATTGTATGCTAATTATTATTCTGAATTACAGGTAAAAATAGCTTATGCTATGACAAAAGGAACTAAAAAAGACGTTGAAAACATTATGAAAAATGTTAATAAAGAGCTGGTATGAATTAAATTGTTAACGTCATTAGATAAAAAGTGACACATCTAATTCATCATCAAATTTATTTAATATACCTAAAATAAGTCAGTTATAGATAACGATAGTAAACCTTACTCACTAAGAAAAAGACCAAAGGTTAATTACAATGAGGATAGAATTTTAAAAAGATAAGAACAAGAAGATGGGTACACTTCTTCTATGCCAATTAATCTAAAATTACATTCATTGCTGATAGATAATCCATCAATGGGTAATCCATTTATTGAAGAAGAGGTGTAGGATTACCTGATAATAATTAATAATATTCTAGATGAATTATCCTTTGAGGATGAAGATTCTATCAACAATCTTAAAATAAAAAAGATTAATTATTCTGTCAATATCAAAATCAATTTATCAAAATCGCAAAAACTGAAGTCTTTTTGTTAAATCTAACGTTCACGAGATATTATCATTACTTCTTAATCCTGACTCTCATTTAAAAATAATAATTGATATATTCAATACTTCTTTGCTTGATGATATCTACCAACAAGCAAATCCTTCTTAGCAAATAGAATTAAATATGAAATGTGAATTGAAGTTGAGAAAAGTGATCAAAAAGGCAATAAAAGAATCGCATAATAGGTTACAGAATTTCTGTTAAGGAAACTTACTAATGATCAAATATTGAATGAGAATTTGGATTCTATATTCTTGGAATGCCTTAAGAAATTGTCAACCACAAAAGTTTAAAAATGAGCTAAGTGAAACGACTATAATTTCATATTCTCTTCAGAATTTTTATCTTTTTAATTTTTATTAACTATTTTTCATATAACTTTTCTATTTGCTTTCACGTAATTATAATAATAATTGAAAGTTAATAGAAAATAAATATAAGAAATATTTAATGATGTAAATATACATATAAAGATAATATATAAACTTTTAAGCCATTTAAATTATTATATAGGACAAAATAAAAGGTTCACTCAAATATTTTTAGTATCTGTTGTGATGCTACTAACCTTTTTTAGTTGTCTGAGATTTCAAAGATGAGTTTTTTGCGTTATAACAATAGCGATAGGTTAATATAAAGATTTTAAATTATTCCTCAATTATATACGCATAATAAAAAGCTGGTGAACTTTTGGCAGGTGTTAAAGAAAATAAAAATTGATAATAATGCAAAATTCTGCTGTTTAAGGACATTCATTTTATTAAAAAAACTAACTATCTATTTTGTACATATGTGAATGATACTTCATAGAATATATGTATGACTCAGAAGTTTTGTATATTATGAATGGTCAAAAATCTATGACAACTAATTCTTCTTTATTTACCAAATAAGTATTATTTTAAAACCTTTTGTAAAGCAACAAAAAGATGTATATTAGTATAGAATCTAGGAAGGATTTATCATAATAAACTTACTACTGAAGAGGATGGTTAGGAGAAGGCTTTTGTGAAAACTCACAAGCTTAATTGATAAAGCAATATTAAAATATTGCTATCATTTGTTGTTAAAAGCACACATCATTCACAATATTGCATGTCTATATGAATTTCCTAGAGACTAATTCTGTTAACACTAAATATTATATGATAAAACTTTTTTAGATTTGCATCTGATTATGAAGTGATTGAACGAATTGAAGCAGCTATAAAGACTATATATTAACACAAAGTTAAACATAGATAATAGTACAAGCAACTCACTTCAGGGTATCACATTTGAGCATATTTACCACTGAAGAGTGAAGATTTTTGTGTTTGTAGTTTCAAAAACTAATAGAGTCAATTATTATTTTAAGCAAATAGGATAAAAATCATGTTTACAGAAAATTATTCTATTTTACTGTGCCTTCATGCATCAATTAGAAAATAATATATTTAGAAAGTTGATCCTTAATTCTGATTTACTGTAATTAGCGGATTCAATAATAAATATTTACATAAATATAATTAGTTTATGGAACAGATAATGTATAAAGAATGTAATTTACGCTATTTTTAATAAAGCATTTCTTTAGATGTTCAAAAAATTTATCATTATTAACCAACTTCAACAATACAACGAACTATTTGTTTTACATTCAATAGAATTTGTAATAATACTTTCCGTTTAATATTTTGTATGATTTTGTAATCATTTATTAAACATAGGCGTATTTGATAAATTTATCAAGACCCATAATTCATATATATTTATTTACTTTATTATTTAATTAAGTTAAACATTTATTAAAAACCTTCTAATTTCTGGATACAGACATCGCTTGAATGAACCAAATCATGTGTAAATACCTTTTGTTATTTATATTAAGGTTTTTTTTTTAAAAAAAAAAAAAATATACAAATTACAAGGCCAATTTGTCATTACACACTTAAACTTAGATTAATAGAATAATAAATATTTTTGCTTTCACTACATGTACAACAGTATCACATAATACGGTTTAATTTTTTTTTTTTTTTTAATTACACTCATCGTGTATTTTGAAACGCAAAAAAAAAATCTCATTATCATTATGAAAAACGAGTTTTTGTTTTTTTTTGTCTCACCGAAATTTAAATTCTCGCCAAGGTCAGATCATTTCTAACTAAAGCTTTCTCTAACCAAATTTACGTTTAGTGAATTTAATTAATCAGCATTATAATTATTTAATGGAAAATTCCGAATTTAAGCAATTACCTGGTATAAGTTGGCGACATTTCCTAAAAGGATACATCAATAATTATGCGCCAAGTAATATTTTTAAGACCAAGAGTTTTCCTTGGCAACACAAAATTTTCATTTCCTAAATCAAAAGATAATCTGCTGGAAAATTCTTTTTAGATTCTGTAATATTTAAGAATTTATTATATATATGAGGTACGAAACGCCAGGAGAAAAAAAATAAAAAAATCAAAAAAAAAAACCATATAATTTTAAGACATTGATAGCCTTATAAAACTTATAAAAGATTTTTTTTTTTTTTTAATAAAAAATAAAAAAAAATAAAATTATAATCATGTCTAATAAAACTAATGAAATTAGTTCAGGAACGCAGGATGAATTACATATTAATATAGGAGTACCACCACCACCTTATGAAGCATCAAGTGAACCTTCCTCAAAAGCAGTTTACGATGTTAAACCTGTTTATACTAAAACCGACAAATCCAATTTTAATCAAAACCAAGAATTTTCAATTCCAAAACCAACATATAATTATAATAATAATCATCATTATGATTATAATAACAACAATTCACAACCTCAGCAACAAATACCTTACCAACATAATGCATCCACAATCGTTTACGTTGAAGGAAACAATGATCAAAGTAAAGTTCCAAAACAAAGGACTTGTTTAGAAAAATATTGGAATCCCGTTATGGATCCAATGGCTTGGACAAGTCTTTTATACTTTTTGTTCATTGCCCCAGTTATTGCGTTATTCGCTCATATTTGGTGTGGTGTGATGCTTGTATGTGCCATCATTTCATTAATTTTCCCACCACTTGGATTTTTCTTTTGCGTTGGAACCGCTTGGTCTTTCAGAGCACTTGGTCGCCTTGAATTAATCACGGCGACAATGTGCACACGTAAACATAAGCCTATTCACATGTATCCACCAGTTTTTCACACTTCATCTCAACTCGCTTCTCACACTGATACTGGGAATGGCATGATACGATACGGCATACATATTTGTTTAGATAAGTATACTTGGATGTGCTTCTTATACTTTTCATTTATTAATATCGCGTATAGTGCAGTCATTTGGTTTTTGGTTCTCGCCTTCTTTATAATGGCATTCAGTCCTTTGATGATAGTTGCCATGCCTTTGATGTGTATAGTATGTAAAAAGTTGGGTAAATCAAAAGTAAAGATGAGTGAAGCAATTTTGATCTAGATGTTTTAAAAGCGGAAGCATAAGTGTTGTAAACAGGTTATAGAAATTTGTAAATTTTATTATATATAAATTATTCTTATTTTCCAATTTAGTATTTTGTATTTTTGTAAAATTATCATTATATATATATATTTTTTGTTTTTTTTTTTAATTTTATTCGTTATTTAAGAATTAAATAAGATTTTAGATACATTTATAATCGTTTTTTTCGTAATTCGAGATGAGGTTAAAATGCTAGTATAAATCCAATTAATTATGAAAGAGATCGCTTTTAATGGACGTGTCAATTCTTAAATACCGTTTAAAGTGATTTGATAACGTTGGAAGCAATTTTTTTTAAATCAAACTTTCATATGCTAGCATTCAGAATCATTGCGAAGTACACCTTGAAAATTCACTTCTGTCGCTGATTTAGACGTAAAAGTCACGTGAGTACTTATAATATATTTATCAGGAGTTTGTATATATTTGTATAATTATTTCCTATCATATTCGAATCTTCTCTGATTAGCTTCAGGTACGATTGTTGTTTTCTTTTATTAGCAAACACTAAGCAAAAAAAGAGAAATTACGTTCAAAATAAATGTAATTGGCAGCACAGCAATTGATTACTCATTCTTTTAAATATTGTCGATGATCCACAAAACATTAGTCGTCACACAAAGTTGCACATTTAAATTTCATATAGAATAAATTGCGAATGAAATTATTATTTCAAAGACTTGTTAAGAATCTCGTTTCAAATATAATGATGCTCTCGTGAATTAATAAAGAAGAATGATTTTCTCATAGGATATTAAAAGTACTATTAATTTAAAAAACCTAACAAATCTATTACAGACTGATTTTAATTGTTTAAATTACACAAACCAATCGGATATTTTAATATTTTTTTAAACGTCAAAAATAGGAATTTCTACACCATAAACAAAAATGCTATTAGGAAAGTATTTCTGTAAACTTCGTTTAGAAAGAATTTGAGACTCTTAATCATTAGATAAAAATTGTTATCATGCAATGAAATTTTTTTTACCATTACCTTGAGAGATTTGATTGGTAAAACTTTATTGATACTTAATCTAGAAATTACTATTTAGAAATTACTATTTATCTAATAAATAAGACCATTTTGCGATCTCTAATGATCTCAGCCTCGATTTTTCCGCAAGTTTTCTTCTCTCTTCTTCTGATAACGTTTTTGCTAATCTGCTACTAGCTTTATGAAACAATAAGACAACAATTTTTCCTTCGTTATCTAATCCCACCTCCAAATCCTCCTCTTCAGTTTTCTGTAAGGTGATGGATGAAATAGAATCAACAAGGTAAACTTTCAACTCATCACAGTCTTTATAACAAACAGGAATAAATAAGAGAGGCGGTTTGTTATTTATAGTATCCTGGGTATCAAAAAAATGGCATCGTAAAAGCTCTGACGCTCTATATATTTCAACCGATACTATCTTATCATCATGGTCATAAGATACAAGGATGTCCTTATTTACGTCATCACTATAGCTTACAACGCCGGAAGACGCTTTTGCGAAATAGACCGATAATATATCCGTATCCTCATAATATCTATAAACTGTATCATCTCTTAAACTAACAAATGTTTAAACATTTATATATTAGACAATATATCATTTTAAATATATTCTATAACAGAACATACGTACCAGGTATTATTATTGGTAGATTTTGTTTGCGTATCCTTTAAAGTTTTTTTTTTTTAATTAAAATAAAATAATAAAGTATGAAGCAGAATGATTAAACTTCATAAATCATACCATTATAAATTGTTCAGGAATTTTATCCTGATAATGACGCTTACTTGGGGACAACTTCGTTGGACTTTTATGACTTCCATTATCAGTTGATACTGTTGTCATAGTTGACGGTATAAATCTATTTTCTTCTGCTTATTATTAGAATAATAAGTTATAATCTTAAAGGGTGTAACACTGTTACTTATAATTATGATGAGTAGTATTGGCTGTGGTCCAGGAATCAAATGAAGAATTTCTTTGGTATGGGGTTTATTACCTTCGCGCTCTTTAATATGTGGACTGTCGCCTCTCTCGTATGCAATCAATACCTTTTCGATATGTTCTGGTGTAAACTCTGACCTTTCGGTATATGTATATTTTTTTGCGTGTTCGGTCCAAACGTATTTTAAAAATGTTTTTTCAAGAACAGAACACCATTTATTAACGTCCATTTTAAATATTAATTTGTCGATGACGAAGCTTATAAGCTTTTTTAATACGTATGACAAATGTGACAAATGACCGCTCTAAAAATAGATGTTATACAATATACGATATTGTTGACCACACCCCCGCCATCAAAGATCCCATCGAAGGTAACCATTTACATGCTTTCCCTTGGTTTACTCGTATGATTTGTTTTCGGTTAGTATTAAATGGCACACCCAAGTTACACCATATTATTAATTTGATATGTTGTAACTGGCTTGAAGTGTCATAATTTCATTGGGTGCCCATTTAATTTGAAGCCTTATGTAACACTACAAAAAGTCGGCATAAAAAAAGGCTTCGCGTTTTCAACTTTTATTTTTCGCGTTATTTTATACGAATTACTTTTATCATGCCCTTTTTTAAACCACCAAATTTCGCAATGATAGCTGGTAATCTCATGTTAAATTTTTATCCTTTAACTTTATTAAATTTATAATTAATATCAATTTCCTTCTTTTTTTTTTTCTTCATAGCTGCCACAGAAAATTGGGGAATTGGTATCAATAATAAATTACCCTGGAAACTTAAATTAGATATGGCATATTTCGAAAGAACTTCCAAACGAATATTACAAACGGAGGATAATACAATTCAAAATGCCGCAATTATGGGACGTAAGACGTGGGATTCTATACCGCCAAAGTTTCGACCACTTCGAAATCGATTAAATGTCGTAATATCAAAAAGTCTCAATAAAGAAGAAACCATGTAAAGTTTTTTAAAATATAAGTTAATTTATGTAATTAATAATTTGTAAATTTTAAAAATTTCTTTTTACCTTTTAAAGAGATGCGAATCAAGTGATTTATTCATCTTTAGATGAAGCGATAACAGATCTTACCAACTCTCCAAAGGTTTCAAGATTATTTGTAATAGGAGGATCCCAAATTTATAAAGAAGCAATTACTTCACCAAATTGTGTTTATATACTTTTAACAAGAATATATAAATATTTTGAATGCGATACATTTTTTCCCGAAATAGATGAACAAGTGTTTAGTTTAGCAACTCACGAGGAATTAGAAGAGGTCGTCGGTGAACAAGTTCCTAAAGGACGTCAAGTTGATAATGGACTAGAATATGAATTTTTATTATATAAACGGATAAGATAAACAACGTGTTTACGTTCTCACAAATCAAGTAAATATACAGAAAAGAATTCATTATTCAAAGTGAATAACTGCACGAATACTAAAAGAAAAAATAAAAAAAATTAATTAGTGATTCATTCATAGGAATTGAAACGTCCTTATAAAATGACAAAGCTACCTTTCACCGGAATGCATATTATCAAAAGCTTTATTGATATCTTCCAATTTATATTGATGAGTAACAAACATATCCACTTCTAGTTTCTTGTCAAGATAATCTTCAACTAAATTTGGTAGCTCGCTTCTTCCTTTTACACCACCAAATGCACTCCCTTTCCATACTCTACCGGTTATAAGTTGAAAGGGACGAGTATTAATTTCTTCATTTGCACCAGCGACTCCAATAATAATTGATTCTCCCCATCCTTTATGACATGATTCAAGTGCTGCTCTCATTACGTTTGTATTTCCTGTACAATCAAATGTATAATCCAATCCTCCATCCGTCTTTTCAACTAAAACCTATATCGTAATAATAATTAGTTTATTTATTTATTTTTTGGCTGAATCAAAAGTATCAATCTTTACCTGTTGAATCGGTTTATCACAATCATTGGGATTAATAAGATCGGTCGCTCCCAATTTCTTGGCTATGTTGAATTGAGAACGAAACATTTTTTAAAAATTGTAATCAACTTTAAATAATCATGTGAAAAATAATTACCAAACTCAAATTTCTTTGGATTGGTATCAATAGCAAAAATTCGACTAATTAAATATAAAAAGTATTAGAAAAGTTTTGTCAAAGTTAGTAATAAAGCTCTATGACATTACCTTGCTTTACGTGCTGCAGCACCTTGGATTACGGCTAGACCAACTCCACCACAACCAAATACTGCCACTGTAGATCCAGGTTGGACGTTGGCAGTTTTTGTAGCCGCTCCATAACCTGTTGTAATACCGCATCCTAGTAAACAAACCTTATCGAGTGGGGCTTTAGGATTAATCTTTGCGACCGAAATTTCCAACAAGACTTTTATATGGTAAAATTTTTTAGTTAATACATTTAAATAATAGAATTTTCTTTTATATTTTTACCTGTGTATTGACTAAATGTAGAACAACCCATATAATGGTATACTTTCTGCCCTTTACAAGTAAATCTAGTTGTTTCATCTGGCATCACTCCTCTTCCCTATGATAAATCACGAGATTTTTTTTTTTGTTTTAAAAAAAAAACTCGTGAAAAATTAATCTTGTTACATTTTGAATATTACCTGAGTAGATCTAACCAAAGAACATAAATTGGTTTTTCCGCTTTTACAAAATTTGCATTCGCGACATTCGGGAATATATAATGGAATCACATGATCCCCAGGTTGGACAGAAGTAACGTCTTCTCCAATTGATTCTACAATACCACCTCCTTCATGGCCAAAAATTGTCGGCCACAATTTTCCTTCAGGATCTGTAAAACAATTAAAAAGTTCAGGAATAGATCGGTTTGGTATAACTTTAGACTTGACCTTTATCGTACCTTTGCCTGATAGAGTATACGCGTCTGTATGACAACTGAAAGAACACGTGAAGCAAACCATAAGTTTAATTTGATAATTAATCAGTTTTAATGAATATTAAAAAGGGAAAGCATACACTCCAGTTGCCAATATCTTTACACGAACTTCTCCTTTCTGTAAAAAAAAAAATTCTACATTTAATCATGATCATATTTGCTGCGCCACAATAAATTTTTAACTTCACCTTTGGTGGTGCAACTTCTACTTCTTCAATGCCTATGTTCAAAAGTTATAAAATTATCGATATATAAAGTAATGACCAAAAAATTAAAATTTAACTCTTAGGATTTGAATGAAAGAATTAACATTTTAAGGTTCTTTACTTAATGGCTTAGCCGGCCCCCAAGCTACTGCCGCTTTACACTTAATAACCTAATTAAAGAAAAAAAATTTTTTTATTAACAAAAATTCTATTTTTTTTTCTTTTATAACGGTTAAGAAGGAAGTTACTTACTTGTCCTGCTGTTGACATTTTTTTTTTTTTTTTTTTTTCTTTTTTTTTTTAACGGAAAAAGATTGATGCCTTAAATATTTCAAACTTTTCATGTTCATCATGATAAATTTGGATAATAGCTAGCTTGAAAGGTGTTAGCTCGAATCAATTCATTTTAGGAAATTAAATATGTATAATAAATGTTTTTCACATAAATGTTTTTGAATTTATAAATTACGTAGAAATAGAATTAGTTAAAAGTTCGATTTAATTACCTGTTAATGTGCTTAAATGTGCAACATATAACCGTGAGCCAAGAGAATTATAATAAGAGGGTTCATTTTATATAAATGGCCGATCACTTTAATTGATTACTTAATGGCGGTGAATTATGGGAGTCCATGACTGATTATTAATTTAAATTTATAGATATAATATTTTAGAATAATTATTTTATTGAAATATTATTAAAAAATTACTATGTTTTATGTATAATTCAAATTGTAAAAAATTTACATTTAATTTTTTTCAAATCATGAAATAAAGATTTAATAATAATTATTTTTTTTTTTTAAATTATAATACATTATATAATAAGTATAAGACATATTTTTAAAAATTTGATATATGTATAAATATAATAAATACAAAACAATATTACGGAGTTATATAATATTATTTTTTAAATTTAAATCCCGATAATTTACTCTTAATTCCGCTTTTATTACTATTAGAACCTCCACCATTATTATTTCTACATTCTTCACTAATATCTTGCTGAGGCATACTCATTGATCTTGGTTTATGTCTTTTAACGAATATATTTTCTGAAGATGATTTTTGATGTGGTGTGGCTTTCTGCTGTTTCTTTTGTAATAGAGACTGCTCTTGTATTTCTTTTAATAAACTTGAAGTTGAACCAGATTTCTTTCGACTATGAGAAAAACTTGTGGATTGTGGTTGTTCTACTTTGCTATCATCAACAGTGCTTGTAGGCTGTATAGCATTTAGTCTGATTTGATCAGTTGCAACAGTACAACGATGTTTGAGAACTTTGATAAATTCATATTTCTTAAACCTATCGGGATTATTGGGCATACTCGATGCATTAGAATCAGTTGATGATCTAGAAGCTAATGATGCTAAACTTAAACTACTATCTCTACGAGGTATTAAACCACCACGTGATATGGGCCTTGGTCCTTTTAAGACCCATCTAAATTGTTCCATTGCCGCTTCTTGATTACCGAATTGCTTATAAAATAATTCTCCAAGCTATTCAATAAATTCGAAGGTGTGATGAGTGTTAAAAATATATATATATATAGAAATATTAAATAATAACCATAATAATTTATAATTACCTCATATCTACAATGTGTAATTACCCATGTTTCTGTGACTATGCCTGTTTCCATCGCTAAACATTCACAAAGTGATTTTTGTGCTACTGTAGGATCATCGATATTTAAGAATTTTTCAAAGACTCCCCGAATAAGTAAATAGACAGCACTTATATCTGGATCGATGGGTTCCTTAATATTCTTCCAAATAGATTCTAATAAATTCGCCCATCTCTTTTTTAATTCCAAAGACATATAAAAAAGATCTCTTCTTAGATATAATAAAATGAATAATAAAAATGGAGAAACCGAATTCTTTTCTACATATTGGGCCGAATGACGTCCAGCAAATTTATTATACCGATTGGCTTTTTGTTCTTTTTTATCCGAAGAATTGTTTCCTCCTACTCCAAAACCAACCAATCCACTTGCACTTGTACCCAACAATCCAATACTATTTGCTACACTATTACTACTACTTTCGCTAATTTGATTTGTCATAGCCTTTGTTTGTTTAAGAACATCTAAAGCTTCTTTCACTGCTAGTTGACCTGATTTAAGCATAAGGTAACATCCGGCTAAACATAATCCGCAAAAAGGTCTTAATTCAAATTCAAAAAATTGTAATAATGAATTATCTTTCTTTGTACTTCCTTCTCGTGCAAGTAAACGTGAAGATCCGTGACGCGATCCATGAATTGATCCTTGTAATCTTATGGATCCATTTTTACCTGTAAATACTATAGTATTACCATAAAATAATAATTCAAATATATCTTTTGCTGCTGAAAAATCAAGATTTATTAAATATGTCATTCCTTTTTCAAATCTATAATTTGTGCTTGTAATTCCAATCTTTTCACTATTACTTATTCCATCTGTTATATATTTGATGGCTTCTTTTATCTGTCCAGTTTTCCTTGCTTGTTGACATGCCATAAATAAGAATGGTGAACTTTTTCTACATTAAAGATACATTAAATTAGATTTTTATCGGTAAAAAGTTAATTATTTCAAAAATAGATGTTTTAACTTACGGATATTTTCTAACACAATCTTGTACAATTATACCCGCTTTGCTTAATGAGGGGGTTGGATCGGCAAGTCCTCGCGAAAGGAACAAATAATTCGCAAGAAGGAATAATGCAGCAAAAGGTGCTCTAACTCCATCACGTAAACGACAATTTTCTAACATTTGGATGCCTTTCTCTCTTTCAGCAATAAATCCAATTGCTTTTAATATTGATTGGAACGAGCCAGGAACAATTGAAACGAGAAAATAAAAGACTCCAATTCCAAATTCTAAACAATCTTCAATGTCAGGATATATTTCTACATTATTAATTCCATCAATTGTAGCACTTGATCCATCCTGATGATGATTTTTGGTTCCACCAAATCCAACCATATTACTTATACTTCCTCTTCTTCCTAATATCGCACCTCCAAGACTCCATCTACTGCTTGAACTACTAGGTTCATTTTTATGATTATCATGCTTTCCTGAATCCCCTTTAATCTTATCGATTTCATCACGAACTTTTGAATAAGTTTTCCATACTTTACGTAAATTTAATGCCCCTTTAATTTCGCTTCCTCCTACAACTTGTAAAACTGCATGGAAAAGAAGAATATCTGCCATTGCTAATTCACAATCCCATCGATAATTTGCACGTAATGACGCATAACTCGCTTCATCTTCCGTTGGATTGCTATTTGGTTTAATATATACCTTCCATATATTTGTTCTAAACAGAGATAATGATGTTTCCTATTATTTTATTATTTTTTATTATTATTGTTATTGTTAATTTTTTTTTTTTTTTTAAAAAAAAAATAAAAAAAAATTAATTTAATTTCTGTGAAATTTATAAGTTAGAATACTCAAAGTTATAAAAATATCTTACAAAATCATCCTTGTTTTCACAAACTTTTATCGCCAACTTTTCAGCTTCTATGAGAGCGTTGGTTAATTCTGGATCTTCCTTATCTAATGATTGACCTGTCATGAAATTCTTAATCAATTGCATTTCAGCATAAGCAACGTTCCACCTTGGTACAACATCTTTAAACTGATTAAATATTTTTTCTGCTTCATTAAATTCATTATTCCATGATTTTCTTACTGCTAAATTAAAATTCCTCGTAAAAATTGTCTGATTATCGTTATCATTATTTATTTCTAAATTATAATTTGAACCGTTTGAGTTTTCTTGATTATTTTTATCATTATCTTTTTGAATATCAACAAATAACATTTGAAGTGAATTTGAAGGTACACGAGAATGATTTGATTTCCTATTATTCTTCTTATTATTATTAAATTCCATTTCAGTGTTTTTATTGACATGCGAAAGATCTTTATTTCTTTTTAATAATAATGGATTTGATTCTTCTGCTATAGGAGATAACAAGACGTCGGCAATTTCTGATGAATTAGGCAATAAAGGAGTTGGTGGAAGACTAATTTTCTTATCAAAAATATTTGATTTTGTCTCATTATTAACTTGTGTTGATTCGTTGTCTTCAATTTCTTTTTCAGTTTTGGCTAAAATTGGAACACGAGAAGCCAAAGGCGAAGATGATTTTGGTGTAAAATTAATTACTGGGGATGAAATGGAAATATTATGGTTTGGAGGTGATTCAAAATTATTTGTTTTACATGATTGTCCATTTTGCTTTTCAGGTAACTCGGATTTCTTAGATGATTCAATATTAGAATTATTTTGAAATAATTCAGAACTAAATGCGGCGGTCAATAAACTAGTATTAGATGACATAACAGGCCTATAATTGATATTCTCTTTAGAATTTTTATCATGAATAATTTCTATTGGTTCAGAAGGTTTAGAAATTTCTTTCAAAGTCTGATCCTGACTTGAAGTCTTTTTTGAAATATCATTTTCTTTTTCATCAATATTCAAAACATTAATATTTTCATTAAATCGATTATTAACAATCTTTTTCCTCTTCAAAGTAGACCATCTCCCATTACCAACTGGTGCACTCCCAACGAAATCACCACCATTCCTCGAAAAATTAAAATCACCATCCTCTTCATCACCTAAATCTTCACTTGGATATTTACGTAGGGCATAAGCTTTTTCATGTGAAGTCGAAGCCTTTTTATTATTGGAATTAATTTCAATAAATGCGGTAGATTTTTCACGTCTCTTCGGAGAGAATTCATCATTCGAATCTGAAGAATCATCACTAACCCTTGTAGCAACATTTCTATTGTTTTCATCATCGGATTCATCATTTAAAGCAGATAATCTAAAATCAAGAAAATCTTCTTTTGGTGGTTGAAAATATACACTCTCTCGATCCCTAACGCTACCACCGCGTCCGATGGAAGTTACGAACAATCCTTCATAATCGTAATCATCATTCAATAATAAATGATCATTGTCATTAACAGATTTAATATTAATTGGTAATGTTTTGGAAGTACCGCCGTTGTTATTAACATCATTTTTTTGTTCATTTAATAGTTCGTCAACTTGAACTTCTTCCGTAATGTCTCTACTCTTACGGTTATGTAAAGGAAGTTCACTATCTTTTAATTTCATTTTTCTCTTAACCCTCTTTAACGATTTTGCACTTCCTTCTGAATTTGCAACAGATAATGCAATCGGGATCGGTAATGATGCGGCCTTAGGAAATGTTTGTGTCACACTAGAAGTATTAGCTATTCTAACAATATTATAACCTTGTTTAACTGTTAAAATGTCGATTGCTGAATTAGTTATTACACCGTCATTTACTAAAACGTCAATATCATCACTAGCGTGCAGAGCGGCACCATAAGTTCGCGTATTTGACTTTGATGTTATTCCTCTACGAAGAGTATTCAAAGGGCTAGATTGATTATATTCTACTTGTTCCTCAAAATAAATATTGTTATCTTGTAAAGAATACGTTTGCCGTTTCCTATTTGTTATTAAAATGAAAGCGATCCAGTATATTTGAGAGAAGAAAAAAGAAATTAAGAGAAAAACGGGGAGAAATCCTACGGGAGAATGTTTAGATTGAACTAAAAAATTGGCCTTAAAAATTATGTTCAATGTGGAAGCCTAAGAAATTTTTAGTTTAAATAATTTCTTAATAGATGATTAATGTAAACAAAAATGGAATTTACAAAGATGAATAACTTACCCCGCATGCAACGCCCAACATCCAACCCAGGTCCCTGATCCAAATAGAGAAAGCCACACCTAGTGCCACAATTATCCGAAATATCCCGAAACTAACCAAGTCCCATGAAACTTTGTTCCAATCCCATTGGTCAGAATCATTCCAAGGACCTTTACGCATTGAGAACAGAGCGCATGCGAAAATTGTAATTAGATCTAAAATTGCAATCATAGCAAGTATCCCATGGTATCTTGGTCTCGGAGGTGAACTTGGGTAAGGGTTGTCTGATAAAGAATCATCATCGTCATCATCATCATCATCATCATCTGAAAGAAGCGGCTCAAATTCATCAACTCTCCCTGATGTTGGAATAGCATTGACATGATCATTATAATGACTCGTATTTGAATATTCAGGGAAATTGTTCAAATTTTGGCGTATTTGTTGTTGAGCATAATTGACACCAAAAGATTTTCTTGGAGTCGAACTCGTTTCCATTATTTTTAAATTTAAATTTTATTTATCATAAAATAATCGAATGAATGGTATAAAAGTTAAATTTGAAAAAAAAAAAGGAAAAGGGTGAGAAAAATTCCTCGCACTTTTCGAATTGGTTTATAAAAAAATGTACAATTGGTACAACGTAATCATTCAGAATGAATATCAATAAGGAGATTCTCCTTAATTTTAATTTTCCTATGGCAGAGTACAAATGCAAATCTTTTTTATTAATATTAATTGCCCCGTGTCATCATAAACTTATATTTTACGTAAAGGATGAAATTCGAGTATTTTTTTGTCGTAAGATTCGCGATCTAAAATTTAATCACGTGAGATTCCGTAATTAGATTAAGAAAAATGTACCCCAGGTTCAGGCTCTTATCCCTGTACATATCACGTGATAAGTATTTAAAAAAATTTTTATTTATACTTGGATAATAACCTAACGCTAAGCCCAGAGTCTAGGATTAATTTGACGTTAGATTAAATGTCGACTCCTTATATTCCCTGAACATTGTTGTATCAATCACGTGATAGGACAGAGCCTAAACAGGGTCTAGCAATTAAAAAGGAAATCAAAAAAAAACAAAAAAAACGCGTAAAATGAACACGATTTTTCAGAAAATTCGCCTACTTAATTGTATTATAACTTCTAGTGTCTGTAATGAAGGACAAATTTATTGCCTATTCCGTGCAATATTTCCTACATGAACGATTGGTTCTCTCTGATTCGGGTGTTTGTTACATCGCCTGTAACTACTGTTATAATCGTGTTGCATACTTTGCATATCACAAATTTTCACTACTTATCCTTTTTATCTTAGTAAATTTCATTCCTTTACTTTGTTTCTTCCTTTAATTATTTTCTTGTAATACTTTATTGACGATTTTCTCCGCCGCTTGTCTTTACGTAGATCGTTTCTTCTTTTTTGTATTATAAAACGTGTATAACACAATATAATTTAAGAGGAAACAAGGACAATTTATTTCATTTATTTCTTTTTTAATAAAATTATATGAAGTTAACAAGGTCATCACCTTTATCACTATACTTGTCTTTTTTAAATTCCAATGTTATGGTACGTCCGTTATTCAAAAATTTTCCTTAAGAAATATACAACCCTTGCTTATAACTCATATTACTCACTTTATTTATAAACGATTTTTTTTTTTTTCTTCTTTTTTACAGTAATTATTAATTTGTAGTTTTTCAATTTGTATTATATTACATATCATATATTTATTTATATACGCGAATTAGAAATGGATGATAATACCCAAGATTCTGTTGCTGCATCCGTTGAGAATTGTTCTAGTTCTAAAAGCGGTGGTGTCTCGGTATCAATTCGACGTTCGTTTTCAAACTTAACTCTTGACAAATCTGTATCGAAATCAAATAATAATAATAATTCATTAGAATCCTCTAGCGTTACATCCCTACCATTATCTAAACAAAAATCAGCTACATTTTCCACCAAGAAATTAAAATTAAGACCTAAATCTGCTCTTCCACCACGAAAATCTTCAAATACTCTTCAAAGTGCTTCATTAATTTCTAGTACAGCTGGCGATTTAATACCTCGTTCAAATCCTCCTCTTGGTCGCCCGCCTTCTACACCTACGTTGCATTCGGTATCATCCTCATCTAGTCATATATATGAAGACTCATCAATAATCTTAAATAATCCATCACAACTTCCACCGCTATTACCACCATCATTTACCCTCTCGCAGAAGTATTCTTCGGAATCATCATCTACCACTTCATCACCATCTACATCAAGCATAAATACATCATCTAGTATTAAATCACCATCAACAACTTCTTTATCATCTAATGAGACCACAGAAGAAGATAATTCTTTAGATATTACAACTTTCTTAGCAGCTCCGCGTTTAACTCAGCGTGTTAGATTAAAAACCGGGAGAGTTGTTAGTTTTTCCGAAGTAGGAGATAGAAATGGTTTCCCAGTTTTAGTTTTTTTAGGAATGGGCTGTGTGAGATATTTTATAGCTTTCTTTGATGACCTTGCCTCAAGTTATGGGTTAAGATTGATATGTCCTGATCGACCAGGTGTTGGACTTTCAGATGACGTTAAGGTAGATGAACAACAAGTATTGAAGTGGCCAGGTATGAATTATATGAATAACGTGTCCGTTATACAAATGAATTATAATGATTATAACTTATTTGTTTCTTTTTTATGTAACAAAATATATTCATTTTTATTTCTAAATTATTATCGTATTTAGTATTTACTAATTTTGTCATCTGTTTATTTAATTAATTAATTTTTTTTTTTTTTTTTATTCCTTCAAAGATGTGATTGAAGAGCTTTGTGAAATACTTAGTATAGATAAATTCTTTATTATGGCACACAGCGCTGGTGCACCATACGCACTTGCTTGTGCTATGAAGATACCTGAAAGATTGCAAGGAACTATATATCTTGTATGTCCGTGGGTGAGCACAACGATCGCCAATAATTTTAAATGGCTACGTTTCGTTCCTACACCTATTATGAAGCTCACTAACACTGCAGGGATTTCTTTACAACAAATGCTTCACGGGAGACAACCTTATTCCACTAAACCATTACATCAACGAAATTCTGGAGCTTTGGCTTCTCCAATGTCAAGCCTTGAGAAAAAACAACAATTAGGAATTGCAATCCTTAAGGCTTCTTTTGCTGAAAATTTATCTGGTGCTAATAATGATTTGCTTATGTGTTTCGAGCGACGTCATTCATTTGGATTTTCATACACTGATATTAATCATCCTGTACACGTTTTCCACGGCACAAAAGATGAAAGGATTCCAGTATCGGCAGTAAAATGGATGGAAGATAATATGCCTGACTGTAAATTGTCATTGATTGAAGGTGGCAAACATTCTTTACTTTTACGTGCTGAGATCGTGGATACGATATTTAAAAGTATCGCCGTGCAATTACACGTTAAGGATGAATGTCGAGTTTGCAAAATTTCAGCTAAATGCTGGCTAATGGAAGAAGCGGAAAATGCTAGAAAATTAAAAGAGGAACAAGAAAGGAAATCAAGGCAAGAAGAAGAAGAAAGATTACGGAAACAGCCTATCGAAAATATTGCTTGCACTTAAACTGACTATGATTATTATTATTATTATTTTTTTTTTAAAGTATTAAAAAAAAAAAAAAAAGGGATAAACAAACAAAAGAGATAAAAACTAAATTAGGACATTATTTAACGAAAAGTTATTAACAGATTGAAATCATTAATTATTATGTATTATTAGTAAAAGCAATTTTTATTTTTAATAATTTTTATTTATAATAAAACTCAATTCTTTGAGAAATTATATAATTGATTATTTCTTTGGAAAAAGAAGTATAGTACGAGAATTTATATTATTTTTACTGTTACATAGTTTTAATTAAATTTTATTGTAAATATAAGGAGTCGGTATAGTTTTCTTTTTCTTATTTTATATTTATTTATTTTTAGTAAATTGTAATTTTTTAATTTAAAATTACTATTAGATTTAAATTATTTGGCAATAAATATTTTGATTTAAAATATTTTAATAATAATATTCAACTTATTTTATAATATAATTTTAAGAATTATCTATACACTTGAATAAATTTTAAATTTTACATATAGTAAAATTAATCAATATATATTATTTTTTTGTATAAATTTCTTTTAAATAATAAATCATTTTAGTTTATTAGCAAGCAAATTTGTCTGCAAATATAATTTACATAGTAAATAATATAACCATTTTATCTAATATATATACTAAATGAAAATAAATTTATGCAATTTTTGAAAATTTGGTTTATTTTTCAATAAATGCATTTATTTATTCTTTAAGCCATATTATCAATTAATTTTAGATAAGTTTTTTGCAGAATCTTTTCTCATTCTTCTTTTAGTTGTATTTCTAAATCCATAAGATTTTAAAAAGATTCAGACAATTATATAATGAACATTTAAAATGATTTCACATATATTTAATAGAATTCAAATCTAAAAATTAAATAGGCTAATTAATTAACATTTTAATTTTTTTCAATAACCTATATTTTTATATCTTTAGCTATATAAATAGATACATTATTATGTTAAAATTTATAAGATAAATTGTAAAATTTTGAACTAACTAATGGCAATAAGTTATTGTCTAAAATTTTTATATAATTATAATAATTAATTGTTTCATTTATTTTTATTAATGAGTCTAATTCTTTGCCTAAAAATCATTCTTAAACTATAACTTCACCACCATTATGTTTAACAAATAAATTTAAGTTTTCAATATTAAATTAGATATTCAGTTTATGCTAAACTCAATAAAACTATCATTATAAAAAAAAATTTAATTTATCATTCTATATGACATTTTTTTATTATCACATTGCCTAATTTTATCTTTCTAAACATCTTTCTAACCATTTTTAATATTGACTTTCCTTTAAAAAATTTTTTTTTATAGCTTAATAAGAGTTTATTCAATTTAATGCAAATTTTCTAAATTATTTAATACAAATATTTTGGCTAATTATTATTAAAAATTTTTTTTATAACATTAGTTAAAGCTTTATTATTTTTTATTAACAAATTTTTTTAAAATTTTACAATCTTTATTATTAAGTAATGGATATCAATCATTCTATTTTTTACTTAAAAATTAAAAATTATTTGAATCTCTATATTTTTTAAGTATTATTTTAATAGTAAATTCTGATCAATTCATAATTCTTTAAATATTACTATTTTTATGTCTATTTTTATATAGTCTAATTTAAAAATAGCGTTGCAACTAGTTGTAACTGGTGATAAATAAGCATCACAGAGTTGCAACTGATTGCAACATTAATAAAAATTGAGTTGCAACTAATTGCAACTGGTGATAAATAAGTATCACATAGTTATAACTAGTTGCAGTGCCATCTTTAATCTAATTATTTATTTATTCAATAACAGTAAATTCAATATTTTACCTTTTAATATGTTATCAGATAAATTATTAGGATTATTAGTACTTTTATATTTATTAATAATTTTAAATTATTTTTAATTTATATACATAATTATAATAAATAAATACAGTCAACTCTTGATATAGCGAACTCTTGATATAACGAATTTTTTGAACAAATATAATAAAAATACTCATATTATAGTGAATTGGCCAATCAAATCTCTTAAAATCTTCACTATAACCTTATAGCGAAGTTGAGGTCTAGGACATAGAGTTCGTTATAACAAGAGTTGACTGTATATATAAAAAAAGTAAGACTTTTAATTGATATTAAAATTAATTGATTTTATTATATATGATTTTAAATAAAATTTAAAAAACTGACTGTATAAACATATTTTACTAAATGAATATATCTATTATATTGATTATATTAATATTAAAAATATAGATATTTATTAAAACTTTTAAAGTAATTTTATTATATCTATTATTATAATTTTAATATAATTTCAATTATTAATATTTATTTATAATAATTTTAATATTTTAGCTATTATTAAAAGATTTTATCTTTTATTTTTAATTAAAAATGTAATATATTTTTTGCCTAATATTTTAATATAACATATTTGATATCTAAACTAATTCAGTCTTCATTATAAGAAAATTTATTATAATTATAATAAATTATTCAATATATAATGAATAATTTGTTATAATAAAATATTATTCAATTAGATCAATCAAAATGGTCTATATATTCATATATTGATAAATTAAAAATTTTTTATCAGTTTTTTCTTTTTAATTAACTAATAATTTTATATATATATTTTTTTTTTTCTTTTAGTCTTTTTTTTTTTTAATTTTATTATTTATTTTATTCTTCTCTTCATTTTTTTTAATTTTTTTTTATTTTTATTTCTAATTTTTAAATCTTTACTAATACTATAACAATTAACAATCTCTAAATTGGAACAGACTGCAACAAAACTAAATAAAGTGAACATTCTGTTATGTGATATAAATGAGAGGCTGGTGTGACTAAAAGTTAACTAATTTAACTAATAGCATTTTGATTATCACAGCAATAACTTGTACACAAATTTTATGTCACAAACTTCTATTACTATCTAAAAATTATAAACAGTTCAATATAGGATTATCTCTATATAAAAATATAAATATGAAACTAATTTACATCAAATCTACTATGGAATCCAAGAATTACAACACTATTAGAAGTATTTTAAAAAAAGAGCAAAGAGAAAAAATTGCTCCCTATGTTTTTAAAATCAATGATACCCAAACTCTCCAGGAGTATCTAGATAAAGAAAAAATCACCTATGAAATTTACCAAGAAGAACGAAAAATAATAAACAATAAGCGAGCATTAACCCTAGCTAATGATGAACCAAGAAAGAAGTAAAAACTTGAAGAAATATAAAACAAGAATGCTTTCTTTATTATTGTTATAGTTGAATAACAAATTAACTATTCTTCTATTTACTATTTGAATGTATTTTAATTTAAATAATAAAAAAAAAAACAAACAATTTCTCAATTATTTCCTTACTTTCAATCAAGGCTATTTTTTAGTTTCCTTGACTTTTACTTAAGCAACCTAACCATTCTATTACCTTTTTAATAATTTGTTTTCCTCTTTCAACTGTTTAATTTTTTCTTCTAAACTATTTATCTTATTTAATAATTCTTGTTTTTGCTTTTTACTTCACTTCTCAAATTTTTCTTGAAATTTGGCTACTTTTTCTCTTTCAATTTTTAAAGCTTCTTTAGCAGTTAATAACTCTTTTCTAGTTCTCTAGTCTTGTTTTCTAAATGAGAACTGAATGACTGAGAAACTAACTCTTCTCTAATAAAAAATGCAGTTTTGCTCTTTGTTTTATGACAATAACATAATCTCTTATTTCTTTTCAACCTATCACATTTTTTGCATCTTGGAAGAGTGCTATTATCATATTCCACTTTATAGTCTTTACAAATAAAGGATATATCAAAATATTGTTCTGTCTCAGTGTGTGCCACCATTTGATAGGTAACAGAAGCAGTGCTAAAATCAAGGTTAGTTTGATCATCATAATCTATAAAGCAATAACTACAGTCGTTTTTCTCTTTTGTTAACTTCAAACTCTATACTCTAATTTCATACTAAACTACTTATTTTTTTGAATAATAAAGGTTTAGAACTTCTCTTTGCTCTTTTCTTTAACTTTGTTTACCAAATGCTTGAACTTTCGTAATTTATTTTCTTTTTGTTGTTTTGGTAAAGTTGACAGTTCTTTATCATCATATTTCTTAATAATTTGTTTTTTGTTTTTTAATCAAAGAATACTTCTATTCGTTTCAAAAGCAACTTTTTCCTCGCAAAATGCTCTGCTTTTGCTTCATCCATTTGCCGTTCTCTCCATTCTCAAGATTTATCAAGTGCTTTTTCAGCCTCTTCTCATTCTATTCACACTTCATCTTTTAGACTTTCTACTCTCTATAAAAAATTTGCATACATTTTTTTATTATTATAAATAAGTTTTGTATACGTTTTTTGAAATTCAGTAACACATTTCCTTATATTTTATAAGGAATTTTTTTTAGCATTTTTTTTATAAAAAATGATGTATAAGGAATTGTTAATTAATAATATATTAAAATAATAAAAAAAAAATTATATTTTATTATATTGAAAATTATAAGGTTTTTACATTGAAAATTATAAGGTTTTTACAATAAAATTATATGTTTTTTAAAAATTAATATTTTTTTAATTAATTTATACTGAAATAAAAGAATTAATGAATTTGTTATAATTTATAAAATTTGTACTATTATTATAAATAGTACTTATGCATTACAATAAAAAAATTTAAGCCTTCTCTCATATTTGATATAAATGTAAAATACAACGGAAATATTTTAATTCAAAGTATTGCAGTATAAGATTTATAAAATTATGTAAATTTTACAAAATAAGGTTATTAATTTTATGTTTAGCGAAGTACTTCATATTATTTACTAATTGTAATATTTAAGATTTATAATGTAATATCATGCTAGTTAAAGTATTAATCCTTTAATATTTTCTTTTCTCATATTTTAAATCTATATTTTGATAAAATATTTGCATACATTAGAAG